TATATATATATATATATATATATAGCTTCTTGCATTATTAGTAAATCAAAATGCTCTGCACTTTTGACCTGATCAATTCTCCACACTTATTAAGAAAATGGATAACCCCGGTGACGATGAATAAAAATATATTAATAATTATATTGATTTATTCATAATGCTCTAATAAAATATTCGAGAATAATTACATACAAACCAATCGAAACATTGATATTTACAAACAAATAGCTCAATATTTTTTTTGAACTGTCAAACAGATATATTTGCCTGTGCCACAATCAAACTATTGAGAATTTGAAGTATTTGTTGGGGGGGTTTTTACCATGAATTTTAATGTTTGCGTGGGAATTTGAAAAATGGACGAAAGTGCGGGGTTGATATGTAAATAGTAAGTTGTATGAGAAGTAAGCCATTTTAGACTTTCTAGTTTTAGTCCTGTTAACCAGCTGCATTGTGTTGCCAAATGGAGTTATGAATTCAATTCCTCGTCTCACAATCAATATTACTCAATGATATCAAATAATTAAATAATAAAAAAAGGAAGAGGTAATTTCGTACCAGCTACATACCTTTATCTTAAAAAGGCAAAGATATTTTAAATAATAAAAAGGAATACGCAATTTCGTACCAACTACATACCTTTACCTTTTTACCTTTTTTTTAGGTAAAGATATGTAGCTGGTACGAAATTACGTCTTCCTTTTTATTATTTAATTATTTGATATCTTTGAGTAATATTGATTGTGAGAGAGAGGAATTGAATTAATAACTCCATTTGGCAACACAATGGAGCTGGTCAACAGGACTAAAGTAAGTCTAAAATGGCTTATCTCATGCAACTTACTATTTACAAATCAACCCCGCACTTTCGTCCATTTTTCAAATTCCCACGCAAACATTAAAATTCAAGATAAAACCCCAATAAATACTTCATTATTTAGCAAATTCTCAGTAGTTTGATTGTGGCACCGGCAAATATATCTGTTTGACAGTTTAAAAAAAAAAATTTAAGCGATTTGTTTGTAAATTCAATGTTTGGATTGGTTTGTATGTAACTATTCTCGAACATTTTATTAGAGCATTATGAATAAATCAATATAATTATTAATATATTTTTATTCATTGTGACCGTGTTATCCATTTTCTTAATAAGTGTGGAGAATTGATCAGGTCAAAAGTGCGGAGCATTTTGATTTAACTAATAATGCAAAAAGCTATATATATATAT